CCAGTCTCTTGGCCTTTACATGGACATCATCCCTGCCTCTCAATCCAAATCTCTGGTTCACTGCTCCAAGCCATTGTGATTTATTACTTTACCAACCCTAAATGTTCTTTAGAAAAATACCATACACCGTATTAGAAACATAGCTTAAACACAGCACTACAAATGTTCAGTATTATTAGGTCTAATTAGCTTTTTGATTGTACAATTTTCTTGATAGATGTCAGCTATACCTCATGGGTGACACATTAAATCAATATCTATTGAGTTCTTTCGGTCTTTATTAGAAATGGGCATGAACTGCCGGTTCATGCCATCTCTAGTGTTTATTGTTGTTTAGTCATAGGCCATTACAACATGAATATTTGACAAGACAAAAACACACATCTGTTTGTAGAAAACAAAAAATATCTAAGATATTAAAGGCAAGCTGTGCAAAATTAATTCCTTTCACGGATAGATTCAATTCCTTGTTGTTCGCCTGGGGTCAAGATGTCTTCAATTTGTTCTGAAACAATAATGGATGGGCACTTACCATGGTTCAATGGGTCAGTGTGGTTTGGAGGACCAGGCCCACAGATGTTGTGTGGGCACCCATAGGAGAAGATCGGGTGTGGAATCTGGGGTGCCCTCACAACACCCATGGGCCCATTCCTCTGCAAAACTGCCAAGGAGATGGGGTGCAGAATCTGGGGTGCCCACACATCATCTATGGGCCCATTCCTCTGCAAAACTGCCAACCCCCCCCCAAAATCGCCCATTAATGGCAAAGTATTTCTGACGCCATGATGCTGCATTTGAAATCTCATCTCTCTTATAGGTTCACTGTCACTCTGAAGCAACTGACCAAATGACAGAACTGGTAACTTATGCAAATATGAAATAACTTTAAGAAAGTTGAAGATAAAGTATTTCTGATGCTATGATGCTGCATTTGAAAACTCATCTCTCTTATAAGTTCACTGTCACTCTGAAGCAATTGACCAAATGACAGAACTGGTAACTTATGCAAATATGAAATAACTTTAAGAAAGTTGAAGATCGCCATGTCTTTTCAATTTCACTTAAAACAGTGTTTCCCAACCTACCAGCAGTGACTCAAGGCGGTCACAAAGTCACAAAGTGTTTTCTGAGGGTTGCAAATCGCCTAATATGTGTCATAGCCCTTGTTAAATAATTTCTTCCTTTTGCAGCAGGATAATAAACTTAGCATGTACATGTATGTATGAGAAGCTGGTCCTTTTTTGGGTAAAGTCAAGGCGGTCACAAAGTCACAAAGTGTTTTCTGAGGGTTGCAAATCGCCTAATATGTGTCATAGCCCTTGTTAAATAATTTCTTCCTTGACCTTTTGCAGCAGGATAATGAACTTAGCATGTACGTGTATGTATGAGAAGCTGGTCCTTTTTTGGGTAAAGGAGCCTTTACTTTCAGAGAAGGGATGAGTTTACCCCAGTAAATGTGCCTTTTTATGCAAACGTGGCAAGGGGGGAGGTGTTGCACACATTATAAAAGGGGGTCGCCACTCAAAAAAGGTTTGGAATCTTTGACTTAGAAACTGGGTAAAGGAGCCTTTACTTTCAGAGAAGGGATGAGTTTAAATTAAATGTGCCTTTTTATGCAAACGTGGCAAGGGGGGAGGTGTTGCACACATTATAAAAGGGGGTCGCCACTCAAAAAAGGTTTGGAATCATTGACTTACTGTAGTGTGTTGAGTTCACACTAGGCAGATGTATGAGAAGCTGGTCCTTTTTTGGGTAAAGAAGCCTTTACTTTCAGAGAAGGGATGAGTTTACCCCAGTAAATGTGCCTTTTTATGCAAACGTGGCAAGGGGGGAGGTGTTGCACACATTATAAAAGGGGGTCGCCACTCAAAAAAGGTTTGGAATCTTTGACTTAGAAACTGTAGTGTGTTGAGTTCACACTAGGCAGTGTGTTGAGTACACACTGGAATCTTAATCTAGGCAACATTTTGGATCTCTAGGAAACATGGCAATTGCTATTGTGACAAATTTGGAAAAATACTGTAGGTGTAAATGGCTGAGGAAGCTAAGAGAAGTAGAGAGAAAAAATTAAGTCACTTTAAAATGAGTCTTGGAATCGCAGGGTAATAGACAAAAAACAAACAAATATGGTGATAGGGCAAACACAGACATGAATGAATGAACATTCATCACAACTCCATACTGCTTTGCAGATCAGCCATCAAAGAAGTTGCAGCATATGCTGATAATAACAACAAAATGGATTTTACATTAAGCTGGGTGATAAAATATTGTTCTCTGTGTAATCTTAACATGCTTAGAGGCTAAGTAATTCTTTTGACTTTATATATTTTTATTGCTAACAACCTTGATATTTCTCCATGCTTTTTAAATAAGTCTGGCAATCATGTCTTTTTAAAAACCTTTTAATAATTTCATTACTTAAGAGCTGCATTCTCTGCCCTTATAGGCTAAAAGTTTCTGTATTTTTGAGAATCTGACTTAAAATCATTCCCCCCCTCGGATATTTTGACTGAATTTTGCTCCTATATTTCTGACTTAAACACTTCTACCTACAGCCTTCTTCAAACCTGTAAGGCAGTTTTTTTTTAATGCAACATACCCGTGACTTCTGAAAAAGATACACATTTTCAATAACTTTTGCATTTTCAAACATATAAGCAATGTAAGAATAAAGTTTGTAGCAATAGACAAACTGACGTTGCCTAGAATTATTGCAACAGTGAAAAGACTTATTATACCTTGGTATTCAGATGAACTTTGATATGGTTGTCTGTGATTATTTGATTTCATTCTGAGATTAACCTTTAACTGGGATAAATGTCACTGACGAACAATAGTCTTTTAATCTTTGCCCAAGTGTGTGTATGTCTGCGTATCCCTGCAGGACTCCCGAGGGACACAAGCAATCCAATTTGGGTTCTGACAATCACACAGTTTCCCACTATCATCATCATCATCATCACCATCATCATCACCACCACCACCTATTATAAGAAAAACTACAGAGAGAATTGTGGCACTTTCAAAGACTAACTCGTTGTCTCTGGCCTAGTTCTGCATGGAAGATAGACACAAATACATAAACACTTATCCATAAACCATAAGAAAAATTACAGAGTCTTGGGGCACTTTCAAAGACTAACTAGTTGCATCTGGCCTAGTTCTGCATGGACAATATCCACAAATACATAAACACTTATCCATAAACCGGGTTAGTATTGTGTCACAAGACTCTTTGTTACTTTAGTTGCAACAGACCATCACCATAACCCCCTTGACAGCTGCAGAACAATCACTCTCCTATCATTGTCATTTAATGAGCAGATAAACATATCCCATCAAATTAAATGGACATCAACAGTCTCTTAGGCTCCAGTATAGCACCCAACCACCTGAGATTAAATCCTACTAAATTCTGTAAGGCTTGCTTCTGAGTATCAGGCTGCATTGTTAATACTCTATCCACAGGCATTTTAAAAAAGAAGAGTAGATGAAGGCATACATTCTTTCATTCCTTTCTATACAAGAAGCTCAATGCATACTTCATGATTTATAGATTCAATTCACGCAAGACATCTATATCCAGTTTGCCAAGACAAAACATTGTACCAAAAGTACCTTGCAAGAATGGGAATAACAACCCAAACACAACAAAACGAATTCAAAACCATGACCGCAAGCAAACAAAAACTGTTAAAAACAAATGCAATTAGAATGAGGAAAGAGAAATGCGTTGAAACCAAAACATCCCCTGAAGTGGTACTGCATTCTGCGGATGCGTCCAGGTAGATTTTCAAAAGCTTGGTGAGGATCTGGGCAACAGGCTACACAGGTAAGGGGCACTTAAGGTGCAATTGCCTTCTCTCCAGATTGGGTGAATGTCTCAGAAGGTTCATATGAGAGATGGAGGAAGTTAGCCGTTGACATCTCTTCATTTCAATTGTTTTGTGTGTGTTATACAGGTATCAAGAGGAGTTGGTCCTTCGTTGTGAGAGGAAAACTGACCATGGACATCAGCTAGGAGAACTTCTTGGTCCACCAAGAGTGCTCCATCTGTGGAATGTGTCCTAGCAATATTTCTACACAACTTAAGTCTCAGTCCAAAATTGGAGCGGTTACAAAATGATCTAAATAGAAATTACTCTGTCTAACCATTAACATATTTTCAGTGATCATTTTAAAAATGTTTGATTCTTGGAATGGTTCCTGAGTGGCTATATTTACACATGTAATCAACCATCAGAGCATGGTTTTCTTGCCGTTATGAACCACTGGTGAATGGCCGGATTAGGCCCTGTGGGTGCCATTATGTTAGCCTAAAATCTTGTTTCAATGGCAATAATGTGATGAAACATCACAACCACCAACATGTGATTGCCGATTGGCTGGACTCAGGCAAGAAATAACGAAAGATGTAGGGGTGAGAGACAGCACTGGTGTATCTAAACATCATGAAGCAGAGGCACCAAAAAGAGGCAAAGCCATCTGTGCCTCTCATAATGTCAAAACATGGCTGAGATCCTGTTATGCAGCTCAACACGCACAAAGGCGATAATGCCAACAAATCACTGCCAATTAAAGACTTCCTTTGGGGATCTCGGAGTGCCTACAACTTCACTGCATGGTGTACGAGGGATGTGCACCATGACACCACCTTTAACAGTGGCAATGTGCCTTCAATCAATGTTGCTTTGCCACTGATGATGACATCATCTCTGGTATCATGCTCCCAGAGCAACAGGATTTCCACCTACATTCTGGAAATGTGCAAAAGCCAAACAGCAATATGAGAGAAGCAAATGAAGCGTTGCAAGATCACAAAATAATTTTATTAACCCTCCTTTAGCAATGTTTTCCCATAGCGATGTTTTTTTGGAACCAATTAACATCGCTAAGCGAGGCACCACTGTACTTAAACCATGGAGGCTGAGAGTTCCATTGGTTTCCACAGTTCCATCATTAAGAGTGTTTCTATTCCATGAAGTTTGCTCACCTACCTTCTGGCTGGTATTGTACAATCATGGTCACAGTCTGGCCCGCTCCTTTCAGCGCGGCGGCGGCCTGCTCATGAGTAGCACCACGAAGATCAATCCCATTCACCTGTAAGAGCACAAGGAAAAGCAGAGCAAATGAACTAATTTCATGGTGCAAAATGGGCAGAGAGAGTGGGTTCTCTCATTCTAACTGGTTCCTTTCTGAGAAAAATGTATGGCCAAAGGAACTAATAAGCACACAACTCTTTCTCAATGGTCTAGGTAACTTTCCATTGTGACCAGGCTTTTGTTGAAACGCTCAGAATGTCAAAGTTGAAAAGGACTTTGGAAGCAATTTCATCCCACATGCAGAAGTCTACAACTTCCTTGTAGAACAGTGGTCCCCAACCTTGGGCCTCCAGATGTTCTTGGACTACAGCTCCCAGAAGCCTTCACCACTACCTCTGTTGGCCAGGATTTCTGGGAGCTGAAGTTCAAGAACATCTGGAGGCCCAAGATTGGGGACCACTGTTGTAGAAGAAGGAATCCGCTATATCCTGTGGCAATCTGTTCCACTGTCAAACAGCTTTTACCATAAGGATGTTTTAAATTTCCCACCACTGGTCCATTTTCTAGATAGCTGCTTTCTACTCAATCAACCCTATCACCTAGGTTGATATGGTTGACCGTGACTGTTACTGCCTCTCCAGAGTTTTCAACAGAATTGATTCCTAGCCCTACCTGGAAGTCCTGGGTATCAAACCTAGAACGTTCTGAATACAAAGCAGGGGTTCAGCTACTGAGCCACAACCACTTCACAGCTTTGCCCTTTGACACAACAAAGGATGAGTTTCCAGTATGACAGCCCATCAGGTATCTGCAAACAGCCAATACACCTCCAGAGAACCAGTGATGTAGTGAACTAGGATTCAGGAAATCTTGGTTCAAATCCTTGCTTGTTCTTGAAAAATTCATCAAGTGATGGCAGAGGTAAGCCACACCTTGAATTATCTCACATAACTTGCAAGCTCAGGCCAAACATACCTAATTCTTTCAAACATTCCTCAAAAAACTGGTATTAGGACTTTCATGACCCTCTGCTGGAAAACGTTAAGTTTATTAAATTGCGATGTTAAGAAGTGTTTGAATTCTTACTTATGTGATAATCCTGTTTTGGGTTGTACCATATCACATCACATGAGGAAGAGCAAATAATTCATGGTTCCAACCTTCCTCCGTAAGGAAAGGTTCTTTTTTGGATTTCAATTCCCAGAATCCTTTCTTGCTGGTGGGCTGGGGGAGTTGTCATTTTAAAAGTA